CAAAACCAAACAGATGCTGCCTCCGAGTGAGTAGCCCCTGGATGCCGAATACTGGACGCGAACTGGATCGATCCGAGACGACATCGCCAGGCGGCCAGCGGGACCTGGTGAAATCTGTCCAGGTGCACTGGGAAAAAAGAGGGATTAATGAGAAATTAGAAGGGTAAACTCAGCAAGCTACACAGAAAAAAATTGACAAAAGATCAGATTGATATGTGCTGGTCAATTTTATTTGTTTAAAGATCAAGTTAGTCATTTTGATATGCTTAAAGATTATGTTTATCTTACTTTACATTATTATCCAAAAAATGCTACATTACATATCGATTTTTTTAGTCGTTTATTAAAAATGAAATTTTCCTAAATGCGTTGAAATTTTCTGGCTGAAATCATTGTACCCCCTGGAAGGGTTTAAAATGGGTTGCATGGTCATTGGAAACACTGGCTTCCGCTAGCGGGCTCTTCCGTCGCATTCCAATTCTTTTTAGACGCATTAAAAACATTACGGCAATGAGCGTAGGAACCGAAAGGAATGCGAGCCGGCTTCCCAAAACACGAACGAGGTCGGCAAAAATCGGTCAGGTTCCTGGGAGGATGTGCTCTTCCCAAATGAACAGACGCCAAGAAAAGCACTAGTAATGCCTGCAAAAAGAAATTCAAGTTAATATTAATGATCACTTGAAGGATCGGTTTCACTCACCAGCAACTTCATAGTGATTTCAGTTTCCAAAATTGAATGAACTAAATTTGGAAAGCGGCTCGTATTTATTAGAGCCCTGCATGGGTATACAAAATTGGTTATTTGGGTACCCAAACGAAATTTCAGGTCAAGTAGGTCAGGCTTTCTTTTAAAAATTTACCTACCCAACCCGACCCCAAAATTTTCGGGTCGTTTGGGTTTGGGTAAAATTTTACCCATTTATCCAAATACCCAAATCGAAACTACCCAAGTCAAATGGGTTTCAAGTAGATCAAATCAGGTTTAAGGTTACCCAAAGAAAAAAATTGATTTTTAAATAAGACAATGATCACAATTTTGTTGCTCTGTATCTGCAACTTGAAAATTTATATTCCACCACTTTACAAATATTTCTCGCAGTGCATTACAGCAGCTGTACATTTGCCCGCTGGCTGCATTTGCGTTGGAAATATTTTTAATTGCTATTGGAATTTTTCCATGTGCGCCTCGTGGACATCTTTCATTCGCTAGCGGATTGCGGATTCGTGTGGGTTGCCAACGTGGCACGTTGCAAGTGGCATGTTGCCAGTTGGCAGCGAACTGTATCGCAGCAGTTGGTCTGCAGCAGTTGCAGCATTTGCAGCAGCAACATCAACTGCGTGACAATTGTCCAGCAGCCGATATTGAATTCAATTAAAGCCGCTGGCCAAAAGCCGCTGACCGTTTGACATAATAACTGGCCACATTAGCAGCAATTGGCAGTGGTCAATTAACTTTTTTCTCCTGCCGCATTTTCGCTCTCTTTTCCCCCAGGTTCTCCCCTGGTTTTCCGCCACGCTTGTCGCGCTTTTCCTTATTTGCAACATTCATTGACACCTGCAATTGTGGAGTTGCAGGTTGCTGTTGTTGATGTTGCAGGTTGCTGCCGCAGTTGCCGGTGTTGCTGTCGTGTTCATGTTGCTGATTGGCAATCAATTTGTTGCCCGTTTTTATGATTCGCAGTGCGTCAATGTCAACTAACTGTTTTTCTACCGCTCTCTGGCAGTTGGTTATTTATTATGTTGTTGCTGTTGAACCAAGTTGCAATTAACACGGCAGCAACATGTGGCCATAACAATGGTCTAAAAGCAAATGTTGCATGTGGGTGTTGCTGTTGCCGTTGCAATGTTGCTGCTGTCGAATTGGTGGCGCGTGTTGCAGACGTGAAACGTCTACCGGTCTACACTGATAAAAAAGCGTAATATGTTTATTCATTTTAAATATGAAAATATTACATTTAACGTTATAACTTTAATTTCAATATGAAATTTTTTTGTAATGAAGTCAAATATTTAAAGAATATATAATAAACCATGTATGTAATATTTTCTACATTGATTTATATGTTTTCAAATTTAATCAACCAACTAAAATTGTTTTATATAAAATATTGCGTTATTTTATTTAATTTAAATATTTGAAAAGAATTTTTGAATAAAAAATCCTGATATTTATGTTTACTATTCCTTTTTTTTTATTAGTGTACCGGTTTTCAAGTCAGCCCCGTCAGCCAAACCCAGACATATGGCCAAGATAAGCGGCATAATTATGCAAATTTGTTATAACAATCAGCGGCAGCCACGGCAACAACAGCAACATTTTATGGCCAGCGTTAAATGCCGTCAACAGCAATTGCAATTCCTACTTCAATTGCCATTTATGGGCGTTAGAATCTAAGTTAGTACATAATCACTTGTGATAGTTTATATTTATTTGCTTACATTTAAATATCCGACTGGTAGAGACTTTAATTTCCTTTTTGCTGAGCTCTTCTAGGACTCGAACAAAGCCTTCATAAATCGCCTTTGGGCCCAGACCATGATAAACTTTAAACCTGTGATGGGGGGAAATTTGAATACAAACATTGACAATTGACGAAATCTGTCTGGAGACATTGGGTAGCAACAAATCAATTGCAGTAGCACAAACAATCGCAGTCATATAACAACATACACTGGGGGAAAAAATTCTAAAGTTGAAACACTGATTTTTAAGGAGAAACTTAAAAAAATTATATTTCCTACTGACTGAAAATGTAATAAAATTTATATTCCGAAATTGTATCCTGTAAAAAGTCAAATCAAGAGCTTAGATTTCTGAATCAATTTATTTAATTAATTGCTGCTGTACAATATAATATACGTGCATTATAATTGTTGTCGAACTCAGAAATATGTAGCCGGTGTTGTGGGTCCGTTCCGTATTCTCATTCAAATTTTGTAGGATCCGAAAGGATAGTCAACCTTTTGTCGGTGATGATGATTATGAGAGTATGGACCGCCAATATTACACTCTGTTTGGAATGGAGGATATGCTATTCCCAGATGGACAGCCGCCAAGATCACTAGTAAAAATGCCTGCAAAAAGGAAATCAAGTTAATATTGATCAACCTTTGAAGGATCTGTTCTACTCACCAGCAACTTCATTGTGTTTTTAGATTTAAAATTTAAATGAAGTAACTCTAGAAAAAGGTTCGTATTTATAGGCGAATCGGTCAGCGATGTACTTGTGAGACTAACACAGGTTTATGGAAATTGAAGATGCGTTTGGAATTGATAAGAACTTTGTTTATGATTTATTTGTTTCTGTTGGGAATTTCTACGAATTTATTTTAATGTTTCTTTTTGGATATTTTTAAGTCATAGATTGTTTTTTTTATTATTTATTATTATTATTATTTCAAATTTGTTCTGTTATTTAGTATTCAGAATTTTTCAAAGAGGAAATCATTCTTTCTCTGAGTGCCTTTGGTATTCAGATTCCTTAGTGGCTAGGACTCGGTCGCCGATCGCCGTTTGCCGTTCTGCATTCTGGCTGGTGACTACGCATGCATAAATGCCTTTATAATCATTTCGTTGAACAAAATTTAGACGTCACTTGGCTGTCAGTTGGGGTTTGATCGCCTGACGACTTGGACATGTGGAAGACTCCGAAGGAGCAACAACATCCGAGATGCGAGAGATCGGAGAATGGAGAGTCGGGGCACCAGATCATGTCCATATTTGCATTTTTGAAATGACACATGGAAATTTTCGTTGTTTTGCCTTTTTAAAAGCGAGCGGCCAACAGATTGACAGCAGCTGCAAGCTGATGACAACAGCAACATGAGACACAGCAGCAGCAGCAGCAACAATGGCCTGGAATGGTTAAGCGAAAGTCGTGCGCAAATCCGATCAGGCGACAGCATATGGATATGCTATATGGGATATGTGGGATATATAGCCAGAGATAATTGCTGTCGCATATTTTCCAACGTCCACTTGTTGTCGCCGACGAACAGCAGCAGCAGCAGCGGCAGCATTGCAGACACAGCAGCAACATGTGTTGCTCTTGGCTCTTTTGGCCGGCTGCCTTTTGCAACTAGCAAACCGGCAATCGTCCGGCTGTGCAAATATTTGGAACTTCCCCCGATAGGAAGTTCCATTATGGTTTATCATCGTTATTTAGCACATGTTATCCATGCATTGCGCTCCACTGTGCGACCAAGTTCAATGTCTGGCACAGCAGCAACACCAACAGCACCAACAGCAATTTCAGTCCGCGAGAACCGAAAGCAAAAAGCAAATAAATGCATAAATGCGAGTGAAAAGCGTTCCAGAGAGAGATAGTATAATTAAGTGATATGGGCACTTGAGAAATGCCCTGTAAAAAATACAGGTTTAATATAATAGAAATATTTTAATCGATAACAATTGAATATCTTGATATCATTTAATTTTAAATCATTTGGATTTTTATATTTACATTTTTTTGTACTATTATTATATTATCATAATGGGGAATTTATAAAAAGATCATATCATTTAAAAACACAAATGGGTATCATTATCTTCTTAAATTTGTCCTAAAAATATTGTAATTTATATTATATTTTAAATATTATAATTAAATAATATTGACACTTTTAAAATGCCCTGTACAAATAGTTTTAATGGGTATTATTATAATAGTATTATTTCACAGATATCATAATATCTTTTGATTTTAAATCATTATTTAATATTTATATTTTATAGATTTATTTCTAGTATACCTATAATCATCAGAATAATACCACTTAAAATACTTTCCCATCTGTAAGCCAAGTGCAATAATATAAAAACCGTTTTTTATGGCCATCAAACATTGAGCACACCTTCTCCATGCTTTTGGGAGAATTCCCGTCGAGAGAGACACGTTGGTAAAAGCCGAGAGAATCACATTCTCATTCTCTCCTACGCGCAGGCAATTGCCTCTTTTGTATGCTTAAAATCCCGCTGTTTGCTCAGTTTGCCGATAAAGACGCAGCCACATGGACATGCACAGGCTGATCTACGAGGTGAAGCAGCGACCGGCTCTCTGGGACTCGGCGCATCCGGACCACGCCAACCGCTCAGAGGCGCAGCGCCTCTGGAACTCAGTGGCAGAGAACGTGGGTCTAGGGGGTGAGTGCACTGCGAGAAATTGCCCAGACATTTATATTTTAATTAACTTAAAAAAGCTGAAACTATTATATTTCATATGCACTTCATACGCGGATATCAATTGAATAATTTCCTAATATCAAAATTACATTTAAAGATCAATAATATAATATCATATAATAATATAATATAATAATATTGATTATTCAAATATTAAATGTATTATTTTAATGACAAAAACAGATATTAACGAAAAGAAAAATAATGGTTAACATTACTAATATAATAATAAACTAAACTATTTCTAATATCAAAAAGTATTTTATATAAAAATATAAGAACAATATGACATTATTTTAAAATTTAAAAATAATATTTAAATGACAATATGATTTTAGAAAATATTTAAATAAGCTTTTAAATAAATTTTATTATTAAGGTAAATTTAGTATTACTTACTCATTAAAATTAATATCACTTTATTAATTAAAAGCTTCCGAAAAATATTTAAAAAATTTTTAAAATATAGGTTTTCTGTAAAATTGCCCCCATTTTTTTCTGTGCACTTTAAAAAGAGTGCATTGTTTACATTCTCATTTTCTCAATCACATTATTGCCTCTGTGACTTTTTGCAGTGGAAGTGTGTCGCGGCAAGTGGAAAAATCTGCGTTGCAGTTATCGTCGCCAAAGCCGAAGTCGAAGTACACTCTCGCCCTCGGGTCACCAGTGGACATATGCGGAGGCTATGAGTTTTCTGGACGGTCAGGGTTCATTTTTAAAGGAAAAGGAGGAGAGAGACAGCAGCAACAACGAGGAGGAGGAGGGGATATATGGAGGAGCACTGAAGAACGAACCCGAGCGTCTGATTTCCCACTTTAAGGCAGAGCCAACTGCGATTGCCGACCAAATGGAGGCGGATAATGATGCCCTGATGCGGGAATTTCAAAGTGTGTCTACGCCGCAGGCCTTGAGAAGGCTCTCCGAGAATATTTCCCTGGCCTCTGCGGCGGCCGAGGAGCAGCTGCCCCCCAAAGCCGCCATTTACCCCACCGGAATATCCATAAATCCGAATTTAGGCTGTAAATTAAGCGAGGGAAGTGCCGTGGCAGCCGCGGCGGCCAGCAGTTGTCACTGTGCCAAGCGGGTGGATGAGCAGGTCAACTTCCTGGAGAACCTGGAACGCGAGGAGCAGCAGCTGATGCAGTCCACCAGCCAGGATTTGGCCCGCTGCAAGAGCATCCTCCATGTGGGCGACTCCGACTATAACTACCTGATTAGCTTTCTGCCGCTGATGAAGCAAATGACGCCCATCCAGAATGTTTTCTTCAGGGCTAAAATGGGCGAGCTGCTGCTGCAGACAATGCAACAGCCGCCAGTGCAACAGTCGCCGATGCAACAGCAGCAGCAGCCGCCGCAAACGCAACTGCAACAGCAACCGCAGCAGACGCAGCAGCAACTGCAACAGCAGCCCTCGCAAATGTTGTTGAACCAACAGCAAATGGCCTTGGATCAGTCCCAAGTGAGCACCAGCTCCACAAATTGGAACTGAATCGAGGGATTGGGAACTAAACAAATGAGATATATATGTGTATAAACCCTATAAATGTACCGGACTGACAAGAAGAGAGCACCACAGTGCGCATGTCCAGTGCACAGTGGTCGCCAAACCGCTGAGATTATTAAGGAATTTTATGATTTTATCATTGCCTTTAAAATTTTAAGTTTAAATAAATGTAATATACTTTAACGATTTTATTAAAACAAACTGTGAGACTTTTTAATTTCCGGGGCTAACATATTAATTAAGTAATTGAAAATAAGTGTTTATGCTTATGATACTTCCTTTTTTTAAATAATTAAAAACTATTCACTTATTTTAATAAAATATATTAAAAAGAGCATTTTTTTCAAAAAAAAAAAAATTTAAAAAAAAAAAAAAAAAAAAAACTCAGTTTGAAAATAAATATTTATATTTTCACAATAGTGCGGTTTGGGTTGAAATTCGAAATATTCGAGGTATTTAAATTTGGGATAAATTATGAAATATCGAAAATGCAAAAGAAAAAGATTGTTTTTGATAATATTTTTTTATAAAATTTTTTTAAATTTTTGTCTAGTTTTTTTTTAGAAGATTAATTAGTTTTTATTTTGTTTTGGTGACAGCAGGACCATTTTTAAAATGCCAGTTTGGAAACGGGGCACTATATTTTTTGAATTTTTAAAGCGTTGAATTTACTTATATTTCAAAGCGTATTTTACGGTTATAATTACCTAGAGTGGTTCGAGTTTTAAAAAATTAAAATTTTTTTTTTTTATACATAAAACAACTGCCTTTATAACACAATAATAAGACATGTTAACATCCTTCAAAATTAATAGAAAATTGTTTAACAAAATGGCCATTAAAGAAGAGTTGCCTTCAAAAACCGATGAAATTGATTTGAATAACAATGCCCAGATGCAGGACTTCCAGGACAGTTCCCTGATCAATGATGCACTATTTGCAGGGCTTGCTTTGCAAGAGGCCGAGCTTCAAAAAATGAAACAGATAAATCAAAAGTTAAGTTTAGTGGAAAACTTAACTGCAAAATATGCCGAAATGAAAGCGAAAATGATTTAAATTATTTGTTTACTGAGAATAGTGAATTGTGTAAAATAGTTGTGAATTAAATTGTATATGTGTTGTATACTGGGTGTGTGGCGGCAGAGCCCGTCAATTTGGTACAATCACTGAGCCCTCTGCCTCTGCGATCAATGGACTTTAGCTTCGCTTGCGCTGCAGACTAAAAACCCAAGAAGATAGTGACAATCGTGTGGGCGTTCGAGTGGATTCTGCAGCCTCAACTTCAGCTTTTTTCAGCCTTGTTGCCAGCTGCAGTTGCAGATGCAAGGGCATCCGACGTAATCTCGCCTCCGGCTGCCCACACATGTCCGCTTTTCAACCGTCGGGGGGAACCTCAATAAATTACTGTACACTAGAATGAACCCCATCACCGTCGTCGACTGCGGTGGTCCTGCTTTTTCTGTCCGTCCGCCCGCTTGTCCGTCCGTTTGTCCGTGTGTTAAAAGCCAAGTCCAAAGTTAACATGACCATAAAAAAAAACAGAAACAGAACGCGGCTACAAAAGCAAACAGAGGACGGGGAATAGGTCGCTCGAGAAATCAACGCAGCTGCGGATGACGAATCGAAATTGACATTGAACCGAGGCTGGAGCCTCCAGAGAACCGGGGATCGGGGGTTACGAAGGGGAAACTCTGGGGGAGAGGCGACAACAATCGACTCGGTGGCTTTGCTTTTGCTGTTGCCTCGGCGACGTCATGTGTTTGAACTTGTTGCAGCCAAGTTGGCAGTTGGGGCATGGGCATGGGCATGGCTATTGGCTTGGTTGTTGGCCGTTGGTTGCTGGTTGTTGGCTCTTGGCCTGCCCCATGAATTCCAATTTCAATAGCAGCCAGACACAGAGGTTACCAATGCACTTTGGGAAAATATGACAGTCAAAATTGTTATACAATAAATCAAAGGATTTAATTAGAATTGTTTAAGTTCAAATTAAAATCTTTAACAAACAATTAATTTTTATGTGTAATATAATTTAAAATCTTTATTATTGGTCTGCAAAATGGTATTCAGAGCTGCCCTAAAAATACTTATTTATTTGGGTAAAAATATAAAAGTAAGCACACTTTTTTGGACAGGTTGAAACTGCACCAAAAATGGTTTGTCTAAAATAAAAACCATAATTCCAAAATAATAGGTAGGAGCGCACTATGAAGAAATTTTTACAAAACTAATCTTTCAATAGGTAAAAAAAAATTATTTTATTAATTAAATTTATATGAAAGACAATTTTTCCTATGCCTAAATTGTTATAAATCGTTACTTTCTTAATCTTTTAAATTTCACAACTTGCTCAGCACCATTCAAATATTTTTCTTATGTTTAGTTTAATGTTTATTTTTAAGTCAGATTTTTTGACAGTGCCTAAAACGTTCTGAAAAACAGTTTAAGGTGTGTTCTTGAGCTTGAAAGCCGTCGAGCCCACAGTGGCAGTTACCGATTCCGATTCCAGTGATTGGAAACATTCGCGGGGAAAAGGATTGGTGATTGAACGGGGCGGGGGCGCAATTAACGGCAGCCGAAAGAAAAACATTTGCAAATCGAATGCAAATTGACATTTGTCACTCGAACGTGCCCATGGCCAATGCATTAAATTCCACGCTGCCGAACATTCCAAATTTCATTTCCATTCGCCGCTGGACTTTTTCGAAACCGGGACAGAAAAACAGAACAATAAAGATAGCCGAATCGGTGATAGATTTTCGCACCTCTCCTTTCGACGTGTTAATGATGCGGATGGCCAAGAAGTGCATTTACCTGTTGCTGCTTTTGTTCTTTCGCCGCCGACGATGCCGCCGTTACGGCAAATGCAAATTTCCCTCTATTCAGCTCACGTCAAATATTTGTAGAGATTTCCATGAGAGAGTGCATTCTGGCACACAGGTGTTAAGTCTCGCAGGCCATTGTTAATGCAGCTGATCTAGCTCAGGAACTCCTCATCCTCAGTTTTTAGAGCTAGCATGTTGCGGAATTTCCAGAATTCGCTTAATTCATCACTCGGTGGTATGAAAGGGTTTCGCATTCCGCATTCCGCCTAAAAATCCCAGCTCTAACACCTTTTCTGCCTAGTTTTGCATGGCCAACACAGGTGCAAAAGCCATAAACGATGCAGATGTTCAATGGCTTGGCCATATAAAAGGGTGGCGAACAAAGGGATTGAGCAACATTTGGCCAGGCAATCTGTGTTTTTGTGTGTTTATAATCCCGTTCAGGAAGCCAGTTGTTCATTTCCTCTAACCTGGTTTCCCAGAATATTTAAATATAGATTTATTTTTGGGTTAGTGAGCTTCATTCATTTATGACCACATCGTTTATTATTATAGCAACATGTGGTAGATGGGCTATAATATTTTTTGAGGAGGATCTCTACCAAATTTAAAAATAAAATAAATATAAAATATTTACAAGCTATATTTCAGATATAAATAAAATTTATTTCAATATCTAAATGATGAAAATTGAATATTATTGCCCGTTTAATTAAGCTTATTACCTTTTTTTAATTTAAAAGTTGGTATCCATAATTTCTATGTGTTTAAATTGTCATAGGTTTCTTTATTCTTGTTTGGTTAATAATAATTATTTTATTCTTACTTTTTATGCGGTTTTACCTCCTGATTCTCATTTTACAGCCATTCCCCAGAACCTTACGGTCGATCAGCTTTGCAACTCTATAATTTAGCCTCATCATTAATTTGGCTTTTGTGGCCCGACCGGACGGACTTTTACCTTAACCATAATAAATGCCTGTGACACCTCTTAAGAAGATTATGCACATAAGGTTGCACATTATCCTCGCTGCCAAGATGATTCCAATCCCCTACGAAAAAATCCAGCTTCTTTCGGAGTTCGGAGCTACCAAACTCAATGGGCCATAATCTCGATCCGTTTGGGCCGCCACAAACCAATCAAAACATGCACTTAACATTTGGCTGAACCCCCGGCCATCTACAGCGTACATCGTTAACACACAAAAAATAAGTGTGTAGTTGCTGAGTCACCCGTACGTGGTCCAAAAATGTACCGCCCTCATCAGAGGTCCCCTCTCTTCTTAGCCCCCTCGCCTCCCCGAAAAATGTTTTCTATATATCGTTGCCATTGGGCCGGCAAGGCAAGCAATCAAGCGGAGTCAGTGGGGCCTTTGTATTGCCATTGCCTCGGAGCAATCAATGCTGTATGACAGCTAGGTTAACTGCCACCTCCAGCCCCTCCGTCTACAAAACCCCTCGCCATCCCCCCCCATCACATCTGCGATCCTACGCGCTTCCTCTTGATTTCGTTAAGTAAATCTCCAACTTGGCCAAGCGGCTGGGCAACCTTCACGTGCTCGTCGTCGCTGGCGTCTCACAGTTGGGGTCACATAAATAGTGTAGGTAATTTAAGATATAATTGGAAAATAGTTTATATAAATATAAATAATTATTTTCTACAATCAAATAGGAATTTGTATTTTAACGTACATTTATCTTATTATTTTATTAACAAAAATATTGTTATATTGTAAAATCCTTACGTAGTTCGCCTCTACGAATTATTTTCGAATTTCGATTTTTAATTTTAGATTTGTATGTTAAATAGTATTCGCTAATCCTTCAACCCCCCGAAAAAAGGAGGTGTCATTTTATAGGTGTAACTTCATTCTTTCAATACTCTCATTTTTCTACTTCCTAGAAACTTGATCTATTATTTCGCCCCCGAATTGTTGATGTTGTTGGCGTCGCCAGCTGTCCGTCCGCGGTTTCCATGGCTCGCAAGTCGCGAGATCATGATCATGGCTTTAACTGGCTCTTGGATCTTGGCTGTTGGCTGTTGGCTCTTGGAATAGTACCAGTACGAGTTCGAGTATTTTTAACTCTCCTTTGGACTTGGACGCGGCTGCGTTTATTGTTGTCTCGTTGGGATCCTCGTCCCTCTGCCTTCGCCTCGCCACAGCGTCTGTTTTCTTTTTAAACGCTTTTAAACACCTGAGAAACTTGCTTTTTAATGTGCGCACATGTGTGCGGTGCTCGTGGAGATGATCATAATAACGATGATGATGATGACGAAGATCGCCTCGCTCCTTCTGGATGGGTTCCCCATCCATTTCCATTTCCACTTCCCCATCTCCATCCCCATCCACTTCCAACTGCGACTTCAACTGCCTCGTTTGTGGCGCGATGATGAAGCAAATATAACAAATCTCAGAGTTATCAACCGTCTCAA